TAGTTTATAATTAAGTTAATTATTTTATTTTGTTGAGTTTAAGAAGCTTGTTAATTGATTAATGTTAATTCATTTTATTCAGAGAAAAAGTTGTATCCCCGTAATGGTGAAAACTTTTTTGAGTTTGAATTCGAATTGGAGATGGGCCTTGTTGATCCGAATTTTTTTTTATCCTTTTTCCCCCATTCCGAACCCTGTTTCCCCTTTATATATATTGCTCTTTATTTACTGTAAAAGGAGGAGGGGAAAAATATTGGAAGAACTAGCTACAATTTGAGAGAAAACATAGTATATTATTAGCTATAAATTTACACGAGAATAGCTCTCAGAGGTATAGAGGACGAGAGTTTCAAGCTTTGCTCGAGTCTTTGTTCGCTTTCCCCGTTCACGTGAGTTCATCAGAGTCATCCCTTGTGGTGGTGGAAAAACTCGTCCTGCTCGTTGTAGTCCCAACTCGCTGCTCAAGAAGAGGTAAATAACTCTTGGCCCTTTTCTTTCATTCCGATTTCAGTGAGTGTCGGATCATGAAATATTCGTTGCTGGTTATGAGTTGATCTTACATGATTTGTTTCGAGCCTAAGTCTATTCTTCATCGTAATCCTTTTCTGAAATTAGTATATGCATGTTATTCTTCAAAAGGATCTTTTCGTTTGTCTGTTCAAAAGGATCCTTTCCGTTTGTCTAAGACGGTTTTCTCCGCTATAGTTCTTCTCGAGTTTTCTTGGTTAAGTATTGCTCTCTGTTTTGTCTAAATTTTGTTATGGTTGGTTTGTAGCACGGTTGATTCTTGCTGTTCGTCCATCTAGGCCTGTTTTCTTTTACCTGTGTGTTGTTTAGCTTCCCCTTTGCAAATGATTTACTTGTTCTCTCATTCTGCCTTTGTTATGTTCCTGTACTGCGCAAAATGTTCGATTTCCAGAGGATTGGTTCTCATTTTATGTTCGTTTTTTTTTACGGTGTATGATGGTAACATTTTCTAAATACTGGTTTCGCTGTTATTCGCTAAGTTAAATGCTCCATGAGAAATGGTTTTATTCCTATCTTCTCATATTTCGAAGTATGACCTTTATTTGGCGGCCTCGCCTCTAAGGTGTTTAGGTGTTTTCACTGCTTCAGTCTAGTGTAGAGTTTTAATGTGTTTACTTTGGCCATTGATATCTCTATCTGTAGGTGTCTGACTACTTGGTTTTTGTGACTTACAACTTGATTCGAATTCCTTCCTTTTGGCTGAATTCCTTCCTTGCTCGGTTTTGTTTTCTTTCCCTGATTTGCCTTTCTTTGCCCTTGCGTCTTGCTTACCGAATGAAGTCAAAAACCGATTTCAACATAAAAGATTAGTTACTGTTCGACTTTTGAGCATCGATTATGTGATTATATGGGTTGTTGTTGTTTAGTTCACATCAGTTTCGAGAGCTAATTGTAATAGAGATTCTTCTCAAAATTTGCATTACTTCTTAGACCGGACATGAAGTTTAAGTTTTACTCTCTCTGATCTAGTTACCACTTACTATGCGGGTTTGGAATACGCTAATTCTTTTGTTCTTAGAAATAGTTGGGTTGTGTGCTAATTGCTTGTTATTAATTTTGACGCCATTAAAGATCTAATTCAATTGTCTGGCATGTCACTAGTCTTTGTGTTAAGGATATCTTTAGTCTTTATTTCTTGATTTGTCTTCTGTAGATCATTTTCTTTTGATTTGTTATTTTAGAATATCATATTGCTTCAACTTATTTTTTATTTATTTTGAGCTTTACTTATGTTAATCCTTTGTCATTTGATTCGCATGTGACATCAATTCGAGTCCACTTCGGACTCCATCCCCGCATTTTCGAGTATCGAGTCAGCCTTTGGTGTTCGAGGGTGAAGGGAAGCTAATGCAAGCCTCCAAAAACTCAAAAAAGAGCTGTATACCTGCTGTATACAGCAGTATACACTGCTATACAACAATTGTACACATGATATACAGGGCATAAAAAATGAAATGCAGGTTGCAGGGGTCAAAATGGACTGTATACACTCGGCATACAGTCCGATATACACGAAAATGGATCAATATATGGCTTATATACATCAATATACACTTTTCGTATACACAGGTCTTTTGAGCGAAAATGGGCTTAAAGTCCAATAGATTGGGCCCAAATTTGGGCATTCTCTTATTATTACCATTATTTATTTGTTCGTATTAACTCTCCAACCCTTTTTATGTGATTTGTTAATTAACTTAATTAAATCCCCAAAAGATGAACCATATTCTTTATGTTACTATACTTTAATAAAATTTCATTTTTATCAACTCTTGTACTTTTTATTGAAAACTTTTACTTAATCTTCGATTAAGTAAAAATAGTTTCCATGCTTTAATTGACTAAATGGGTCTAAATTTTTTTTAAGAGATTCAAATAAAATTCTAATTAACCTAAATTTGCCAAAATTCTAATCGCTTGCAAATCAATTTGAATATTTCAATCAAGGTTCAATTTTCTTAAAAAAATTAAAAATTGTTCTTTTTAACTATTTTCTCAAAGTTAGTCAAATGTTGTAAATTATTTTCATGTCAAATCATTTTTCTCATAATTAGTTGAAATCATTTTGAGTCAAATCGCCGGTCAATCGCAAGTTAGCGGGCATTCCGAGGGCCTAACACCTTCTCGGAATGTACATTGAACTTCGAACCCTGTTATTTTCAATTGATCTTATTTGTTTAGGTCTTTTGAAAACCTTAAGTTTTTTCTTGACCTTTACTAAAAAAATTAAGTAGCGGCTCTGCTCTTTTGGAAATTCGATTTCTCTTAAACCATAAGTTTGATCGATTTTTCGAAACTTAGTTATTTTTCTTTTTCTTTATATTTTTGAGTAAAACACCACCTGCAGAAAAAATTCCGATTAGTTGTCTCTTGTGCTGTTTACATAGACCCTCAACTCAAGATAAAGGTGTAGTGACTAAACTAAGCAAAGAAGACTGAGAGACTAATTGTATAAAAGGGTCACAATTTTCTGTTTTGCTTTTTTAGATCATTCTTTGATGTATAAAATCATGCAAGAAACAAGTTAAATATTACGAAGTTGACACCTCCTGGAGGTCCAGGCACTTGAGCATTCATGTTCAATTTTCATTACAAGGATGAACACGCCTTTAAGTCGAAGTGAATGAACATGTCGGAATTTGACATCTGCCCGTCTTACTCATACAACATAACAGTCCACTGCTACAGCAACTGCTTAAACACAAAAAAAAATCGAACTTCAAATGCAGATATGTCTTTCTTTTAGCTTGTTCTTAAAAATATATTTGACTTTCATGTTATTGTTCATCTCAAAGCTCTCTTCTTTCACCTTTTATTTTTGTGCAGAATGATGGCTTCAAAAAATTCCACAATTCATTTTTAGCTTTAAACATGAGGATCCACATGACAGTTACAACAACTAATCCACAACTATGACCACTGAGTAAGAGAAAATTTTAAGGATGTTTTATGACTAGAAAGATGAATCACCACAAAATTATTAGCCACTTCTGTAGTTTTGAGTACTCTTCTACATCAATTTTCACAAATATAAACTT